TTCTTTACCACTGAGCCACCGGGGAAGCCCCTTATTTGGCACATGTTTTAACTAACTGCACAGCTTCAGTTAGTTCCTGCTCTTGCAGTTTAATAGTCAATCTCACTTTTGTCGTATATAATATAAAATTTAACTTAATAACAGGATGTTTAAATGTGTGTATCTATATCTACCTCCAGATTGTCACTTTTTAAGTGTTAAGGAGGGTAAATGTAAATGGATTTTAGATACTTGACCTTTCCTTTTGGAACTGACCAGACGTTAGAAATTGTCATCCAGAAAGTTTATGCCATTGCATCTTATTCTATTGAAGTAGGTGGAACCACTCATTATCAGGAATACTAAAGGATGTTGTTCTGCCTAAGTCTGGGGACTTTTAAAGTTGAACTCTAAATGTGAATGATGATGATCTTTCTTGGGAAAATCGACAATAGGTCATTCATTAAAGGGAGTTAAAAAACAATACAGAGTGTCTAAACAATGGAAAAACTGTTATTGGCAAATTGGAATCCCAGTGTATTATGTAAAAAGGAGATTTTTCTAGACTGGAAAGTCCAGAAAAAGATTTAAAAACATAAGGGGACTTAAGTATATCAGAAAAGTAGCATTTCATATCAGTGGTAAAAATGAATTGTTCATCTGTACCATTTTTCTAGATTCCATATATATGCATTAATATATTTGTTTTTCTCTTTCTGACTTATGTCACTCTGTATGACAGTCCATCTGTGTCTCTGCAAATGGCACAATTTCATTCCTTTTTTATGGCTGAGTAATTTCCCTGTATATATCGTATCTTCTTTATCCCTTGCTCTGTTGATGGACCTTTAGGTTGCTTTGATGTGCTGGCTATTGTAAATAGTGCTAGAGTGAACTTTGGGGTGCATGTATCTTTTGCAATTAAGGTTTTCTCTGGGTATATGCTTAGGAGTGGGATTGCTGGGTCATATAGAAGTTCTATTTTACTTTTTTAAAGAAACCTTCATACTATTCTCCATAGTGGCCAAAATGAGAAGGAAACCCAATAAAGAGGGGTTATGCATATACATACAGCTGATTCATTTTGCTGTATAGCAAGAGCTAACACGTAAAACAGCTATACTCCAATAAATTTTTAAAACATATTTTTCAGTAAATATGTTATGGATAACTGAGTATCCATCAGGGAAATAAAGTTAAATGCTTAATCTTAATACATATGGCCTCCCTGACGCTTGTTTAAAAAGCATAGATATTTCCTTGAAACAATTTAACAAATGGGAACTTTCTTTCTGGTGGTGATTCAGTAGCTCAGTCGTGTTGGANTCTTTTGCGACCCCATGGACTGTAGCCCACCAGGCTCCTCTGTACCTGTGATTTCCCAGGCAAGAATACTGGAGTGGGTTGCCACTTCCTTCTCCAGGAGATATTTCTGACCCAGGAATCGAACCCAGGTCTCCTGCATTGCAGGCAGATTCTTGCATTGCAGGCACTAACTGAGCTACCAGGGAAGCCCAATCTCTAAGTATTATATAAAACCCAGAAGCCATTTTTATAAAAAAACAGAAAGATTTAATTGTGTAAAAGCAAAATGAAATCACAACAAATTGAAAACTCTACATAGAACACCATAAAGAAAGTAACAAGACAAATCACAAACTGGAGAAAATATTTGTAACTTATATCTTGTGTATTTGAAGAGATTATAAACTGCAACAATAAAGCCCAAATCTAAAAGAAAAGTGAACAAGGAATATTTTCATAGAAGAAAGTGAAAAGTTGTTGCTGCACAATAAGATGCCAGGATTCTTGGCCTCCGGAGGAGATGAGGCTGGATCGCTCAGAGCTTTTGCGTAATCAAGTTTTATTAAAGTATAAAGGAGATAGAGAAAGCTTCTGACATAGGCTTCAGAAGGGGGCAGAAAGAGTACTCCCCTGCTAGTCTTTAGGTGGATGTTATATAGTCACTAGCAGTCTGTTAATGAAAAGAAAAGAATGTCTTAAAACTCAGAATGGCACCAGGCCCCTCATCCATAAATTGCATTTTGTGATAATCTTGGCACCAGATGATTCATCCCAGGCCATAAAACGATTGACTTGAATCTTGTAGAAGGGCAGATTACCATACAAATAGTTTCGTTTACATAGATTAGGGGGACAATATCTGAGTATAACATACTGGTTTGTCAAGTAGGTTCTAAGCCTTTGGCAGAACTGACTTGAATCAGAGTCTGGGATAAATGCATAGCACATTAACATAGCTTAAGACAAACATTTCCATAAGAAAAATGTATTGGTTAACTCAAGGTTTGAGAATAGTTACCTTCAGGTGAAACCAGGTGTTGTGGCAACACAATATTTTAACAGAAACCTCCTTTTAAATTTGTATAGAGAAGGAAAAATATCTCTAGTTTGTTTCCTCCTGAAAATGTCTGACACTTGCAGACTATTTCCTCCCTTTGGAGACCCCGGGCCTTCCTGTCTGTTACCCTCTCAAAAGGAAGTACAGATATGAGTGAAGCAGAAAAAAGATGCTCAAAAGCAATTGTATTAAGAAAAATGCAAATTAAAACTATAAATGAGATCTCATTAGGATATTAATGGACAACTCTGTTGGAACAGGCATGAGAAATAGACAGTGTCATCCTTTGCTTATGGGAATATAAATGATCACCAGCTTTACTTTTTTTAAAAATATTTATTTATTTGGCTGCACTGGATCTTAGTTGAGGGACACAGTATTTTCACTGCAGTATGTGGGATCTAGTTCCCCAGCCAGGAATCAAACCCGAGCTCTCTGCATTGGGAGCATGGAGTTTTAGCCAC